ATGCTCCCTCTTCCTCTCTGTAGCGGTTTCCAGGAGTACAGAGCCCGGTGTCAAAACCTGTAAGTCTGCATGCGTTTTATCGGCTTGTGATGGGAACCGCAGCACTTAACACAAAACAGTTGAGAAAATGTTGCTGGCCGCAGCCACAAAACCTGCCCTCATCTTTTCCATGATGGTGGCGGAAAAGGAAATTCCTCAAGCTGGATTTTCCTGTTTAAAGGCAAAGGGAAAAGGACTGCCAAAGCAGATGGAATTTAGTCTAACTGATATAAAACCTGGGTTAGCAAAGTGAAATGCAAATCTCCTCTAAAAGTGCAGGAATTGTGGCCATGCATAGCCAAGGCCACCATGAAGCCACTGCAGCCCTGCATGAGCAAGGAACAGTTTGGGTAACACCAGGCTTCAAGTCTGCCGCTGGCTTGATTACTGTGTCACTGCCTACCATGCACTTTCGAGTCAGTTATTGCAGTGGCCCATTAACGTTATGTTCTGCTAAGAAGCTACAGACATCTCTGATCCACATTAAAGACACTGGTGAGGTAGGAGAGGAAAGCTCCACTGTGTAGAGGACTTGCTGTCTCTTCAGCATTGGCTCATGCAGGCTGGGAACTGGGCAATAACTTGGAAGTGGTACAACAGGGAAGAACCACAAGCAACAACCAGGTAACAATAGAAATGAGTTTTATTTTGTAAAAAGTTATAAAATGAATATTGTACAAAAATAAAGTCTGTAGAGAACTTTGGTTGATTAACACAAATGACTGAGACATAAATTGCAGGTGAAGTAAAAAACTCCAGAGAAGCACACTCCTGTCTTCAGTAAGGTCTAAAAGATAAAAAAAAAAAAAAAAATCACGAACTTTACCCTTTTGTAATTTGAACATAGTTATGTGCTTTGGTTGCAGCCTCTTCAAGCTGCACAGAAAATGCTTTGGGGCAAGTTTTCAGCAACTGGGGCAAGTGAAAACATACCTCTGAGCACTGCTGCTGGTCAACCACCCAGCAGCGCAGTGGACCCTCAGCTTAGCAGGCTTTCACTGCCCAAATCATGCCGATGCTGGTGGTGGTATCAGCTGTACCACCCCTGCCCAGTGTAGAGTGTAAGGTATCCCCATGGCAGTGCAAAAATGGACCCAGTGCATAGGCTCTGGGGCTGCCCTCCATCCGACCAGGAATGCAGTGGAGGTTCGGGCTTACTTAAATTTCATACACCTGGTACATCTTTCTATTCCTGTTCTGGATTTTTTTGACTTCTAGACCCTTCTTCTGTGGGGCCCAGGGCAAAATGAGTATGGGGAGCCATTGCATGCATGAGATAAAAGGTCGGACCACTGTTTTTCATTTTTCAGTAGGGAGTATTTTTCTTCCTGTTGTTTTTGTGGGAGTTGATACTTCACTGGTTGTCAGGTATGTCTAGCGACCTGCACTGCTCTCATTCAGAAAAAAAAGTCTCCAGAATGAGAGCTTGCATTAGCTGTCAGGTATGAACGCCTTTGCTGTACAACCTCCCTCATCCTACGGAAACTCAGACTGTTCTGCTGCATGGGTACAATCCTGTAACATTTCAGCAAATTATACAAAACACTTTGGTTATTTAACACAATCGTTTACCTGCAGGCTATATTAAATCCAGGGATAACTAGTAAGAGGGATTTAACCTCTTCTATATGGAAATACGGAAGAAAAAGCTTAAATAAATATAACAAGAAATTATAAGGCTAAATGTGATTATTTTCCACTTGTCAATAGTTATATGAGGTCATTTGGCAAAAAGTGTGAGAAAAAACGTGCCTACACTAAAATATGACTAGAATTAGTTTTTCTAACAAATTGCTAACGTTGAGCCAAGTCCTGTGACCCTCACTCGTCCAGAGCCATTGCTGCTCCTGCGCATGTATGACTGCAGTAATTTTCAAAAGGATTAGTGAACAGGAGGAAGGGCTATAGGCTTCGGCACTACATTTTGTGAACATCATCAGCATTTTGTTTAAAAGAAAAAAAGGTAAAGTAAGTGATTTTTTGCATTCAGGTTAACACTTTCAATCAAAAGCATGGACCGTTGTTCCCAACTTCATTGTCTCTCCATATCTTCCAAGCACCTTCTACTTTGGCACCTTTGAAAAGAAGCTTCAATAAATAAGGAAAGGAGACTCATTACTGAACTGTAATAAATAACAATAACTTAATCTCAATAAATATCTTCTGTATATTTATGTCTCTGAATGGATGCATTGCATCAAGTAGTCTCTGCTCACTCACAATGACCAAATAGAAATGTAGTTACGCAAGTGACATTAGTCCTTTGTAAACCTAAAGAAACACATTTTGTGTAGGCCGGGCTTGCTATTTCTCTTACTATACTAGGAAGAAGTGCTTAAAAACTCAACTTGTTTTCATAGGTAGCAGAAGAATGAAATCCTACACTCATTTTGAAGAAACACGACATGGAAATAACCAAACTTAACCAGTAAGTGGAACCGTTTTGTTTCATATTGATACCAGCCCTAGAGAACTTGAGCCTGGGAATTTTGGTATTTGCCCGGTATCATCTTACTTACGAGGTTAATCTTATTATAGCTTAGAAGCTGTCCTAAGTGCTTAGGAACCGCCCTTCAATAAGCAGCAGCACAATGTGTCTTTCAGTAAAGCTGAGGGCACAGGGGATGAGTAAGGTATTCCTAAGCTACTTCTCAGCTAAGCTTCCTTGCACAGATGGTGTAACTACAACACAGCGTGGTATAGCAGGGTTGTGTTTTTAAGCACATTCCTCATGGATCCGAGTCTCACTGATGGTGACTGTGTCAAATGGGAAAGGGAGCGCGCACGCCATCCAGCCGTCAGCATCTCCACCTGAGCTTTTATTTACTTTCCCGTAGGACATCCAAAGCCTCCATCTTCCTCCACCGCCTCATGCCCCTCCCCAGGCTCTCATAACCCCTTGTACTCCATTCTTGGTCCTCTTTTTTTTTTCCGCTCTGAGCAGATATATCCCCAGGAACCTTGGTCCCTCTTTCTGCATCAAAACCGCCACTGCTTCTGGGTTGCATCCGTCAGACGCATCCACACCTTTTTGCGGAATGTTTTTTCAGTATGTGGTAAACCAGATTATCGTCCAAAAAGGATAGGTCATCATCGAAGGCTGTGGGTCTGCAACAAGCTTGCCTCACTTTGTCAGTGACTAGTTTTTTCTTTCTGGTTAAGTTTTTTAAAATTTTGTCATAGGTGGTCTCGGCTGCATCACAAGATCCACTGCAATACCGGAATATTAGCTCTTCTTTGGTTTCGTATCCCAAATCCAAGTCGGTCACATTTAAATGTATTTCTGTTAAGACACATCCTCGATTTTTGCCCTTTTGATTCCTCCTTCCCTTTTTGCTGGAATTCTCTACGTTTGTGGCTGCATTTTGCCGGTTTCTCTCCCGCCTAGAAAAAATCGGTGTCTGTTTATCTGGCGACCTCCTCAATCTTTTAATGGTGGCTTGAATAAAGTCCACTACCTCATCAAACTGATCTGGATAATCCTCTGGCATATTAGCTGTTAGGGAAGGAGAGAAGAGGCTTTGTCACATGTCAGTTGTCATTAAGTTTGTCTCAAAAACGTTAGATACATGCAAGCTGCTCCGCCCATCACTTCAGAGTGCATGCCCAGGACCCTCAGAAATCAGGGAGAATTTGGAATGGTTTAGATCATCATGGAAACTCATTTGGGGAAAAATAAATGAGATATGTATGTAACTCTGTAGGTGTCTGCTGATGCTTGGTAGCACTTCAGCACATCTTTCAACATTGAATGAACCCTGTCAAAATCGAGGAAAGGAAAAGCATGTCACAATACAAATATTAGTTAATGGGTGGATAAAGCTACTGTAGGGAGGTTATACAGGCTCTTCCCAGCAAAGCAGCAAAGGACGAGGTTTCTTTAAAGCAACTTTGTGATTATAATTGTTGTCTTTTCACACTAGCAGCATTTAGTATTGCCAAAGCCATCTATCGATAAGGTTTTTGGGCATGACAGAAAGATGAATTTCCTGGGGTACTAGGCTGAGCTATTATTCCTGGCTGAGTGCCTGCTTTTTGTGCTTCTGGGGATAATTATTATCATAGCTTTTGAAAGATTTCTCATGGATGTATTTTGTATCACAAGATGCTTATTATATTGAGTAGAAATAGGTCAGAATAGAAGTATTATGTTAATTTTCAAGGGAATTGCTATTAATGCATTTTCTTTTTATGAAGTTAAAATACCTATTTCATTTTTCACTTCATATATACTCTATCAGTGATAAATTATTCAAGTAAATTAAATGTTGAAGTCAATGAAATGTTTTGATACTAGCAAAATGAATCTCTTCAAGAAGGGTGAAATTGAAATTGCTTCCAAATGTTCTCAGATTTCAGCTTTTCAGTGTGATATGGAAAAAATTCACATTTTGAAATCTTTAAACTTCCCATGGACTAAATCCCTTAGCGTGATCCACTTTAGTGAATACAGTGATTTAATGGAGGGTCAGGCTGTCAGGAGCCCATGTGTAGGCGCCCTTATGTTGTATTATTAATGATTGTCTCTTAAACACATAAACTACATTGCCGTATTGAGATTTTTTTTTTTCTCATTCATTGTGCCAAAAATCAAGACTTGAGGACTCACTTTCTTTGAAGTAAGACCTAAGAGGATGCCTCTTTCTGTACTTAACTCCCAAGCACCCACCTACATAACAGACCAGTGTCATGCACCAGGCCCTGCATGTACGGGAGCTCCATCTCCAGAAGGATCCCTACAAATACCCCAGGAACTGCAAATGTTGGGAAAGTGCATCTGGCCAGGGTCTGGTACCTCCACTGAGCCACGAAGGCTCTCGCTCGGTTCAGTGCCGAGACAGGAACAGCTCCTTAGGCAAAGGCTCAGCTCCACGTTTCCCTAATGAGCACTGTAACAGACAGGAGTCGTGATGGGAGGCCAGGCAGCGCATGTACCCAGCCCACATGCGATGGCATCGACATTGTTAACAGGAAAGAGGAAGCCATGAGGCTGCCTCCCATTGCCTAGCAAAGCTGCACCTTCTTATCCTCAATAGAAGCACCAAATACAGAGGAGATAGGGGCAGCAGGATCTTAACTCTAGTTAGTGCAAAAACCTGCTGAAACACAGTGCATCTGCATATAAGGAGAAACATGGGCCCCTCCCCAAAGCAATCACATCCTAAAGGCCTCTCTCCATGACAAAAGCAGAGTTTAGGACTGGTAAAAGTGAATTACAGTTTGTTTTACAGATATCCATTCTAAAGGCAACAATCTCACAGATCAATGACTGTCAAAAGATGTGAGGATGGATGGCTACTATCTGTACAGCTATATGGGACCTGAATAAGGCAGGACCCTGCACCAAGCCCCATATTCCTGTGATGCCAATGGTAAGCACACCCTTCTTGCACTCCTCTGTCATTACCTCTGTAGCACGTACCAGAATACCCACTATGAGCCACACCTACTGGAAAGGGGTAGCTTGGATAGATGTGTCCGTTGGATACACCACCTAGCTCTGTTGCAGGACAGGCTGGTCTGCCTGCACCATATGAATACTGCCCTACTGAGCAAGGTCTAGGTCAAGGTGATGGGTGGGATACATTCCTTAAAAGCAAGAAGGGGTAGACACCTTGCTAGACTCAGTCAAGTAAGATGACCCATGTGGATGTGGCGTAGCCTCCATTGCTGAAGTACAAGCTTGGCCCTGGCACAGATACAGATGTAAAAGGGTTTGGTAGGAGGCACTTGTTGCTGTGAGACTGGGTGGTTTCTAGGTTTCTTGAAGAGAAACTAGGTTTCTCAGCTTACAATCCAATAAGGGAAGGATGTGGCCCTGAGGAGGTGGTTCTAGCTGTGCCATTCTCCACTCTCACCTTCAAATTACCCCTTTCATACTACCGTGACTACCCCACCCTCTGTCACATACTCCTGGCCCAATCCTTGATGTAATGAGACGTTTGCTATGGACAGTGGAATGCAGCCATCAGGGAAGCACACTAGGGTTTAATGAAATTCATGTAATGGTTGACCATCAGGAAGCAGATGGGAGATTGTTACAGGGAAACCCAACCTATATGTGGAGATTCTTGTCTGAAACTTTCAGCCTCATACTTATCCCAAGCCTGGTACACTGCCAGTGCAGCAAGGGAAGTAAGTGTCCCCCACCTAAGAAGGGAGAAACAAAACTGTGGATTACCTGAAGAGAAAATGACCCAACTAGGCACGTCATTTTTAGACTGCTTGCAATTCAGATGCAAAAATATCACCTACCCCTGCAGCTGTCTACTTTGGTTACATATTAATCAGACAGTTACAGGGTTCAACAGTGTCCTGCTCAAGACAATCCAAGTATGCCCTGGAGCATAGATAAAGAGGAGAAAAGGCCCATGTTGTGGACTGTGTACCTGCTCAGAGCCCTCAGAGACATCCATCCTTGTTCACGTGCGACTGCTACACCAACAGCACCAAGGGAGTTAAAGATGCTGAGAGCCTTCTGTGCTGTGAGTGGCCTATAATACTTAAGGTGGAGGAAATACACCATAGAAGAGCCCTATGCAACGCTGCTAATGCAGGCATGGGGTATCAACATTGCAGAATGCGGAAGCAGTAGGCAAAAAGTAGATCAAGTAGTCAAGCCAACAGTGCATCCAACTACAGACGTCCTGCCTACACTGCAACCAGAAAAATGGGGTAACTGGCAGCATGACTGATCCTGCTAATCTCTGTGGGGCTCTAACACAAACCATGCAAGAAGCGCTCCAAGCTCCAAGGATGAGGTGTGCATGGCTGATACACGTAATGGAGCTGGAGATCCCTGCTCAGCTCATCTCCTATTGCATCATCATGCCGCTTGGGAGACTCACTGGGAGGGATGCCAGCACTATGAATAAGATGAATGCCAATTTTCTGTCTCCAGGGTGGACTTCTCCTTCAGCCCAGGGAATTGGAAAATATTCCAAGCAGGTATCCAAATCTATTGAGAGGACTCCTGCAGTGATCCCCAGTATTTGGAGATTACATCACTGGAGGAGACACAAGCCACATGGATGACATTAGGGAACTGGTGGGAACAGAGCCCCACTCAAAAAAAATGTGCTGGACCTATTGTCCCTGGTCAGTGTCTGCCCACCTGCAACCACACATGCAGTTATGCAGCTATGTGGGTACACCACATTAACACAATGGCAGCTGCATTACTGGGCTACTCAGTGAGTCCTAGCAAGTTCCTCTAAGCAAGAACAACCTCTGCCTCTGGAGCCCCAAACTAGTCACCACCACTGCAATGATGCTTTCTTCGGCAGCTTCCAGCTGGACTGCCAGTGTACCCCAAGTTTGCTTCCATAATTTAGCACTGTTTGAGGAACACCTCCAACCCTCGCAACCAGCCAGCCTCTGACTGGTACAACTCTGAACTGTTGTACATCCCACATAGCCAAGTTTCAACACACACTCAGCAGCGTGGGCCTGTGCTCTCCGTACTGTGTTGCGCGCAGCCGGACCCAGCCACCACTGAACCACGGACCATGCAATGAGGCTCATACTGACTGGATGTGGCTTGGTGCTAATTTTCTGCTGCTTAACAAAGCACAGTCATCAGTGTGACTACAAACAGCCACTAGAAGCAGCTTGCAGGGGTTTGAAGGAAACCTTGACAACTAGGAGTAAAGTGAGAGCTGACTTATCAGCCTACGCCAAGGTGCCAGTCACAACTCTGTAGCGATATTCAGCTGTCCAATAAGTATGGGTGTGCAGCCTGCGAGCCCAAAACAAAATGCTGTAAAAACCTGCTAAAGTAGGACCCTGGGCAACCAAGTGGAAATGCCAGCATTAATACTAGGCGTGACAGGTTGAAACAAGGCACTAGAGGTAAGTGCTAAGGAAGCTACCAGACATCATACATGAATAAGCAATAACCACTGACCAAGGATGAAAGACCATAAAAGGCTAATGGACAGAAGGGAAGGTGGAGAAGATTGACAGCAGGACCACCCCATCCTGATGGGCGCTTGCTAGATGTGCTCCAGGGATGCCAAGACCTCTCTGCACCACAGCCACCATGTGCCGAGCGCTTGTTTGGTCTCTGCACTGTGGTGAATGCTGCTGGGGGTGAAGGGAGTGCTGAGCCAAGCTGCGTGGCCAGGGAACACCACCGGACTCATAGGGGCTGCTTTGGCATTGACTGCTGGTTTGTAACCTGCATCAAGCCACTCGACTGAGGGGTACTTAGTTACTCCTCTGACTCCAACACTGTTTAGAAAACATATATAGTCTCAGAACAAAGGTCAACAGCCCAGCAGCTTTGCTTCTCTAATACTGCATGGACTGCGCTGGCTTGACTGTGCAGCAGACAAAACTTTCTGTGGGGACAAGCTACCCCTTCTGTAATATACGCAGTTTGCATGTGTGTATATGTGTATTGTATTTACATATACACACATACAGACAGATCTAATTATACACACATATTTTTTCAAAACAAACTAGTTTACTGACAACACTTGCCTTC